ATTTTTCTTTTTGAGGTTTTTGAGTGTCAGTCATGATTTTGTTTGGGTGTAAATAATCAATTGACTGATGAATTTTTAAGGTTTATGCTTGCTTCTTGATGTTTGTGGTGCAGGCTATGTTTAGAACAAATTAAGATTTTTTGTAGAATTTATCTGGAAATCATACATAGTTGAACTATGAGGATAAAATTTGGTTAGAAGATGATAAAAGAAAAGTTAGTTGAATTTGTAAATAATTGTTCCAATTCCACTTGAACTTTCATATGGGCTCAAATTTTTGTCATTTCATATGAGATTTTCACTATTTCCTAGTTAAGTAGATGTGAATTTTTTCAAATAAATTCCATTAAAAAAATCTTGATTTGTTCCAAAGTTAGCTTCTTTGTTTAGATATATATTTACGGGATCATGATGGCTTTTTGAATATTACAGTGATGACTCCTTGTTTGTAAAGAATCAACTCGCTGATGTGTTATTGTGGTTTACACTTGCTATCTGATTTTTATGGTTTATTGTTGTCTAGATCTGTATTTAGAAGACCATGATGGTTTTTAGTTTTATGCTCATGTCTGATGGTTGTTTACTCAGTATAATTTGTATTACTTGACTTAAAAGGGCATGTTCCTGTTGTAAATTTCCATGGACTGCCTCTAAAGGGTTTCTTTACTGAAGCTTAATGGTCTTCACTGGATAACGTTTGTGCCATTAATTGATTTTGGTGGATGCTGTAAATATGGGGAAGCATTAACTTTCCTTCTTTTGGATGCCACCAACTGGCTTCTCCTTACGATTCTCAAGACGCTATTTGACTGTTTAGTTAAGGAAATTTTCATTTTTCACAAGAAAATTTTTTTATTTTCTGAAAACTATTTTTGGTTTGACAAAAACGAAAACATGATAAGGGATCTCCTTTCAATTTCTTTGATTTTCTTAGAAATATAAAATGAAACATTTTTTTGCAATTAAACAGTACCTAATTCTTGTATGTATTTTCTTGTTTGATGGCACATTCATCAGATAGCACCTAGCTTATTGTAGGTGACTGATCTACCCGTCAGAAACTCACAAGAAGCTTTCATGATGGAGATCTGGGCAGCCAGAATGGTAAGACTCAGTGCTTTCTTGTTTATATATATATATATATATATATCTTGCAGCTAGAATGATAAGACTCAGTTTTCTTGTTCTCTCTCTCTCTCTCTCTCTCTTGTGTGCATAACTGAACTAAGAAAAAATAATAGAGATTTTTAATGCTGCATTTGGTTCAATTACTAGTCAATTTCTAGTTTTAATTTTGACATTAGTCTTTGATACGTATATTTAAAACATTATTTGTTGCATTTAAGTTATTACACTGCTATCTTGAATTCTTAGGTGTGGAGATTGAACTCACACTTCGAAAACAGGAATTGAATTCCCCTCGTCAAAGAATTAAAAGTGGAAGAACAGTAGCTCTAGCACTATCAATTATGTTCTACATATATGTATATTATATGGGAATCAGAAGTAAGAATTGACCAGTAATTGGATGGAAACTGAACCAAATACAACCTAGTAGATTTTGAACCTTATAAGACATTCTAGAAATAGTTAACTATGGTCTCTGATGCAGCATGGAAGTTGAAGGTTACTAAATCACATGCTATCCATTTTTTAGGAACTTGTTCAAGTTATGTTAAAGTTACTTGGGATCATCCAGTTAGATGTGAATCTTGTTTCGTACTAAAAAGTTGTAGGATCTATGGAGAATATGTAGAACAAATTTAAAAATTTTATGCTAAAAGGAAAACAATATGGCATGGTTGATCAGCTTAAGATCTTAATTATGGATATCCATGACCGCAAAGAATCTCAGACTTTTGGTAACTTGTTAGGACTGATCCATTTATATTATCAACAGGCTTAGGCAGCTGATTCTCTACTAGTTTGGTATCAGAGCTGAAGCAGACAGCAATCTTTTCTGGGTTTGCATCTCTTAATGTCCGTGTTGAACAAAGAATGTCTGAGTTTAGCCGAGAGGCTGAAAAGACAAATTGAATGTTAGCTCGAATTGGAGAGGAAGCAGCTGCTAGTCTCAAAGAGCTTGAATCTCTTTTTTACTCTGCACAGAGGACAAGTCAGTCAAGCTAGCTGTTTACCCATTTTATTTTTGAGTTTCTCTTGATAAACAAAGAGCGAAACTTCTATTTTACAAGTAAAAAAATGAAGCCCTGGTCCCTGATTCTCGAACTGATCTTGCTTCCTATTAAAATATTTCTATTTTGATCATACTACTTGACAAAATGATAACATGATACGAAGACAATGCTGCAATTGTCATTGATTGATTAGAATGGAAATCCAAGAAAAAGTTTAACAATTGGTGTAATCTGTTGCTGAGTTGTAAATTAAAATTTCTTAAAATACTTTTATAAGCTC